CAGTTTCAATAGCTATGTCAAGAATTTGCATCCTTCTCCCAGCTTCCATTCTCCATGACAACTGCCTGTTTCATTTCTTGAGTCCCTGGTCTTGGGATGAGCTCTGATCAGTGAGTTATCAGGATCATTTACAAGGGTATCTTATCCCAGTTTCAAGGCATTCTGGTTCCTGGGTCTTTTCTGGGAAACATATCCTGAGCAGCTGTTTAAGCACTTAGTGACTCCTTTGTTCAACTAGAAGCTGTGGAGAAAGTGCCTCCTGCTATCAGGATGAAGGGTTTAGTTCCACTGCTACTTAACTGCAAAAAAGAAAGAGGATTGGAAGATCATAATCATTTTCCTTGCCTGTTGTCAAATTCTGGATGGTGGCCCTTTCCTGTAACATTTTCACTGGATCCTGTGTATTTATTTGTGATTCTTGAGCACCAAGGCATCCAGATCCATGACAAACACTGAAATGTCTTGGTAGAAATGCTCCCATCAATACAGTCTTGTCTTTTCACCCTGTCCACTACCTTTGAATAGGCACCAAAGTTTGCTGTGGTGACTGCATAGATATGATGGCAAGGAATCCATAAAGTCCTCTTGGGCAGTAAGGGTGCAAGGGACTGGTGCAAGGAAAATCATCACCTCCCAGTAGGTGATAAAGTTTACTTGGACAACAAACTTCTTAGTGCACTTGGGTTCAAGATCAGCAGTGACAAATGCATACTGATTCTGACTCAAAGCAATAGGATTCATCTGGATAGTGTTAGATTCCAGTTTGTCCATTATATATACTTTCCTAGTAAAATATCAGTCTATGCAAGGCTATTAGTCAACTACAGACTAATACTAGGAGACCAGTGGAGATGTGTGTAAAACTCCCGAGTAACATGTTAGCATGCTGCACAGCAAGACAGATATCATTTGCAACCTTTACAAAGGTAAATGATGTCAGGGTTTCTGCAGACAAAGCCAGCATGGTTCAGGAGGTCATAGTTCCATGGGAATTCCTGCCTTCGCTAGATTGGCAGGTTGATTCAACTTAAGTGTATAGCAGAGTAAGTTTTTTGGTAATCTTATGCAGACTATGACTTGTTACAGGAGCCTTCATTCAGGGTGAGTTGCATACCCTCGTTAGCTGAAAGTTTAAGGAAAATGGTCCCTTAAGGAAGTCAGGCCTTCTGTAGTTATGAATTCAAAGCTGCCATACTGGTGTGCAAAGCATTTCACCTATTGATGGGTCTGACATTACTGAATGCTGTGGACAACACCAGGGAAATTCTGTATCGACAAGCAAATTAAAAACAGCTACCCTACCAGAAAGTACATGTGGTGCAATCATCAGCATGCTAGTCAATAATGTTTCACCTCTTTAGCCTGGAGAGTACTTTGGACTACCTTGAAGGAGATATGTCAAGGAACCACAAGTAGCCTGTCAAGAACTAAATTCTTCCTGGTACTTTCTACAGGCACAACTCCTTGTTATGAAACATTATAAATAGATCCATAGACAAATGTCAGATGTTTTTCAAGAGAGATCAGTGCCAGGCTCCGTATCAGACACCTTTCTAATCCTTTATGCTCTGATAGTATGCCTTTCCATCTATATCCACGATGCACAGGGCCTTGAGGAAAGGTTCCTAGCGTATGCCATATGATTTTGGTACTTGGATATTGTGAACCTATGATTTCACTGGTCCCACCAGATATACTTTTGTAGAACAGTGGCTAATATTCCTGCATATGCCTGCTTGGATGCTGGTTGAATGGCCTCTCCTGAAAGGGACAGTTCTTTCATGGACAGTTTTTTGCTGTGAACATCTTTCTGTATGAAAGAAAATCATCAGCTGGGTTGATGTCTAAGGCCAAGTGCAGTGACTGCTTTCTCTGATAGCCAGGACCCAAGGCTGCTGTATTAAACTGCTTCCTTCCTTTTAAAGCAATTTGGCTTGTCCTCAGTTTTATCCAAATGCACATGGCAATATTTACTTTATTGTTTTGCTGTACAAAGTCTTGCTGTCTCTTAGCTCCAAATCCTGGGGGAATTCCTAAAAAGACATGCACACCTCTTCCTACCATTTAAGTTCTCTTGTTTCCTGGGCCTTCAGTTAAATGTTGACAAAAATGATGAGTGCTCACGCTGAGCCCCTGTTCACCTGTTGTTCTTACCATTGGTCATTGAAGACAGTTATTTTTGTGACTCTGTTAAATTAGGTAGAAAGATGGGTAAAATTCAGGCCTTTGCTGCAAATTCCCCATACGTAGTCATAAGAAAGTAGGGCTAGAAGACACCTCATGAGGTCATTTAGTCCAGCCCCCTGCTCAAGGCAAGATCATCCCTGACTAAAGCATCCAAGCCAAGTGTCTGTTCTCCAGCCTCATCCTGAAAATTTGCAGGGATGTAGACTCTCTACTTTTCTAAGTAACTGTTCCAATACTTGACCAGCCTTATAGTCAGAAAGTTCTCCCTAATCTTCAAACTAAGTTTCTTCTGCTTCATTTTGAGGTCGTTGCTCCAGGTCCTTTCCCCTACAGCCACAATTTCTTCAACAATTTACTCATTTTATAAACCCCAAGTCCTTTTTTGCAGTACTGCAACCTAGCCAGTCTTTCCCCAATCTGTATTTGTGCATTCAGTTATTTTGTCCCAAGTGCAGGACTTGCATGAGTCCTAGTTAAACTTCATCTGATTGATTGTGGACCATTTTTCCAGTTGGTCCAGGTCATACTAGATCTAGTTGTACCCGCTGAAATGTTTGCAACTCCACCCAACTTGGTGTCATGTGCAGATTTGCTAAGTGAGCACTCAGTCCCACCGTCCAAATTATTCGTAAAGATTTTAAACAATACCAGACCCAGGCCAGACACCTAAGGAACTCAACTTGATACCTCCTCCCAACCAGACATAGCCATTGATGCCTGCTTGCTAAAAACCATCATCCAACCAGTTATGAATCCAACTTACAGCATCTAGCTTTTCTGAGTAATTCCTAACCTGGTCTACCATTATTCTAGGCTGTTTTTTCCTTTCCTGTCTTTGCAGCCAACTGGACTTGTCATCTGATACCTACTTCCCCTATTTGTGAAGATGGAAATAAAAGAGGCATTAAATACTTCAGCCTCCTCTGCATCAGTAAAAAAAAAAAAAAAAATTGTTGAGATAGATACAGATATATGCCTATATATCTTCTTCCCCTCTACATGGCATTGGTCAGGCTGCAGTTAGAGTACTGCGTCCAGTTTTGGGTTCCGTACTTCAAGGGAGATGTGGAGAATCTTGAGAGGGTTCAGAGGAGGCCACTTGTATGGTCAGAGGCCTGCAGGCGTGTCCCTGTGAGGAGAAACTAAGGGACCTAGATCTCTTCAGGCTTTGCAAGAGAAGGCTGAGAGGTGATCTTGTGGCTGCCTATAAATTCATCAGGGGAGGGCAGCAGGGAATAGGAGATGCCCTATGTACTAGGGCACCCCCTGGAGAAGCTAGGAACAATGGCCACAAATTGACAGAGAGCAGATTTAGGTTGGACATTAAAAAGAACTTCTTCACAGTAAGGTTTGCCAGAATCTGGAATGGGCTTCCAAGGGAGGTGGTGCTCTCCCCTACCATGGGGGTCTTCAAGAGGAAGACTGGATAAGCACCTAGCTGGGGTCGTCTGACCCCAGCGCTCTTTTCTGCCCAGGGCAGGGGGTCGGACTCAATGACCTACTGAGGTCCCTCCCAACCCTAACATCTAAGAATCAACGTTTTTAATGCTGTAATCCAATCATTTACCTGTCTCTGTCTTTGTCTCTCAATATGTGTATAGATATATACAATCCTTATTTGTATAACAACATTTTTAAAATGCTGTTATCCAATCATAGAGTTGGAAGGGACCTCAAGGGTTATCTGGTCCAACCCCCTGTCTTCTCAGTCTTCTCTAGATTGGCAGTCCCTTTTGTTCCAGCCTTTCCTCATATGACGTGACATACTTTCTAGACCTCTCTCATTTTTATTGGTGTTCTCTGTACTTTCTTCAGTTTGTCTCATCTTTATTGAGGTGTGGACACCGTATAGTAATCAAGGAGAACAGAGCAAGGAAATCATTCCCCGTGACTTGCATACAACACATCTGTTAATACATCCCAGTATACCATTCTCCCTTTTCAGCAATATTACTTTGATTATTCTGCCCGTTATCTCTACTGTCTAGATATATTTCTGCAGTACTGCAGCCTACCTAGTCATTTTCCCTTTTTGTATTTATGCATTTAATTATTATTTCGTGAGTGTAGTACTTTGCACTTTTCTTTATTACATTTCACCCTGTTTATTTTTTCAATTCATCAGGGTCATTTTGAAAACCAATTCTGTCCTCTAAAGTGCTTGCAAACCCAGTTTTTGCAAAGACTGTCTAAATACATTTGTTTCTGCTTGGTATTTGCTGTGTTTTGTGGCAAGAAAATCAAGCTGAATAGAACTCATTCCACTGGAGCTTAGTTGGCCTCTTTGTCCTGCTTTGCTTGTGTTGTCATCTCAGAAATCTGTAGAGCAGGAATGTGATATTTCATCCACACTTTTAAATTCATTATTCCTTGAAAGTATTGTATTAAGTCTACGTGCTTTTTAGTGGGAAAGGAAGAGAGAAGGCATAGTTATTCTTTGCTGGCCTGTCTCTTAATATCAAGGTAACAGCTTGTTCGTAACCACAAATAGAATTTTTATGGATATCACTCACATCACTGAAAGAACATTTACATGGTTTATAGTAAATGTGGTTTTTCAAAAAACACACTGTTTTTTATTTCCTGAATGTTAGCTATCTATTTGGGGCAATGGGCAGCAGGCAACAATGTTGAATGACGTAGTGAGTGTGTGATTTGTATTACTATATGAAATGTACATTACTAGATTATTAGAGGCAGTGAGATTTAAGTTTTGAAGAAAATCTGCAGATTCTATGCAGCTGTTTTTAGTTGAACAGATCTTCAAATGGAAACTGTATGCTAGGTTTGGGCCATGTTTCTCTTATTTTTAGGAGACAATTGTAGTCACTGGATGCATTATAATGATGCCACCAAAACCAGAAGTGGATGGGCCCAAGAATTATTACGTGAGTTTGAAAGCAACGTTGACTTACTTAAACAGGCCGTGAAGGATCATAACATAGATTCTCCTACTAAATCTCCACCTCACATTTCTCCTCAAAATATACAAGCAGGTACTTTATTGCCATTCATGCATTATTCTTTACTTTGCTGTCTTCTGTGAATATTAATTATATCCACAATTGGACTATAATTTGAGATCACGGTCACTCTTGTTTCTTCCAGGCAAAGAACAGATGCCTAAAGGAACTAGGACTTCTTCTGTATCTCCCCAGCAACCAAAGGGTAAACTGGTGTCTAGTCCTCTTGTGGTTAGACTTGCAGATTTCAATATATACCAGGTACATACTTCTTCTAGTTGAGGAATTTGGGGCCTTTGCTAGTTTCATTTTTTTTCCTTGACTGTTAATTAGCCGTAACTTTTAAAGAGCCTGATCCAAAGTCTTAAAGTCAATGTAAATCTTTCCACTGGCTTATTGGATTAGACGAGTGATTTTGAACCTTTTTGTACTTGAGACTCATTGAACTCGATGTACTGCTCTGTAACTTGTGTGAATTAAGTGGTACACAATTTCAAAAACTAATTTGTAGATTACAGTGCTTGCTTAATTCCAGAGGACCTGGCAGTGAAGATAAGGGATCATCCAGGCAGGGACAAGCTGAGCCTGTGCTGTATCTGCTTATCTCCTAACACCTCACTTATGTCTTCATATGTTACAACACCCTCAAAACATCTGGTGGCATCCCAAGGTGCCCTGGCACACTGGTTGAGAATCACTAGATTAGACCCAGACAGTGAGGGATAAGTGACTGGGGCATGAGCCCTGGGCACCCACCCAAAAGCCGCCCATGAACAGCAGCCACCTGTTGGCCCAACTTCAGTGGCTGCCGCTGCCCAGGGCACAGACCATAGCTGTTATGCCTCTGGACCTGGGACCTGCTTTGGATTAAATTTCATAGATTTCATAGACATTAGGGTTGGAAGGGACCTTGCAAGATCATCAGGTCCAGCCCCCTGCCCAAGGGGCAGGAAGGCAGATCACCCCAGCAAGATAAGTATCCAAGTGTAAAGTTTGAAGTAAATGAAAATGTTCTCAGTGACTTAAACAAGAGTAAATCTTGAATCTAAAATGAATCTGTGATAGGATGGCACCTACAGATGCTGTAGTTTCTCAACTGCAAAAGGGGAGCTTTGAATTGCAGCTGAGGTTCTACAAGAACCCTGCCAAGAAAAGATGTTATGTATGTGCTCAATCAGTGGATCTTCCAATCACTCTGATCTCACCAGTCCCCCAGTCCTTTGGTGCTATGCCAGTTCCAGTAACCTTGTTAAAGTGATGATAACTGCTTACTGCCAGAAGCCATGTTTGGGTTTGAAATGGGTTTTTCCCTATACTTCATCTTTATTTGTAAAGCAGTGTAGCTGTTTGAGAAATTAGATCTTTTTTTTTTGCTTTATTTTAGATGCTTTACTCTTTTTGCCTCTATCTCCATTTTCTCACTGATTGTCATTGTTTTTGTTGGATGGGTAGAAAGCTTCTTATTTTAAGTAGATATTTTGTATTTTGAAGTTTGTATAAATACATAGTTGTCACATTATTACATGTATTATATATGTAACTTAACTTTCATTACATGAAATATATATAACTTAAAAATATCTGGATTGGGAGGAAAGTCTTATAGGTGTTAGCTATCCACAGCCATTACCTATGCTTATGTAAAATTAAATGCAATACAAATCAGCATCTATTGGATATTGAAAACAACTCAGCTATTTTGAGAGTAGGAAGCTGACAAGTAAAAAAAACCTTGAGTAAAACCATTTTTTGTTCAGCCAGCAGGTGTTTTTTTTTAAACTTTATGTATGCTTAAGGAAATCTAATATGATTGGGATTTTGGACAAATGACCGTATTTACTCAGTTCTAAGACAGGGTTTTTTCCCTATTTAACGGGGGGCGAGAGGTTGCCCCTTTAGAACTGCTGTGGCTTGGGCTTCAACCCCTACCTGGCTATAGCTACTTCCTGGCTGCCATCTCTGCACCCTGCCATCCCTCCTGCTCCCTTCTCCATGCAGCCTCTAGTCTCCCAACTCTCTCCCTCCCCCTTGCTCTGCAGTCTGCCCATGTTGCAGCCCAGGGTACTGAGCACAGTCCCAGCCTGGCCCAAGAGCTGCAGCACACAGCCTTCACAGTGCAGGGCTGGGGCTGTGCTCTGTGCCCCAGGCTGAAGTAGGGGTGGAACCTACTGGCACGGAGCAAGGGTAAGGATGGAGGGAAGAGGGAGGTAGAGCTGAGGATGGGGTAAAGGCTGGGGAGGAGGGGGGAACAGAGGCTGGAGAAGGATTTCATGGATTTCTAGGGTCAGAAGGGACCTGTTAGATCATTGAGTTGATCCCCTGCTCTGGGCAGGAAAGAGCACTGGGGTCAAGTAACCCCAGCCAGGTGTTTGTCTAATCTCCTCTTGAACACCTCCAGGGTAGGGGAAAGCACCGTCTCCCTTGGAAGTCCATTCCATATTTTGGAAACCTTCAATGTAAAGAATTTCTTCCTGATGTCCCATCTAAATCTACTCTCCTTCAATTTATGGCCATTGTTTCTAGTAACCCCCAGGGGTGGTCTGGTAAACAGAGTACTCCCTATTCCCTGCTGACCCTGCCTGATGAGTTTGTAGACAGCCACAAGATCACCTCTCAGCCATCTCTTGCAGAGGATGAAGAGATTCAGGTCCCTCAATATGTCTTCTTAGGATCTTACCTGCAGGCCCTCAACCATACATGTAGCCCTCCTCTGAACCCATTCCAGGTTATCCACATCCTTCTTGAAGTGCCACGCCCAAAACTGGATGCAGTACTCCATGTGTGGCCTCACCAGTGCCGCATAGAGGGGAAGTATCGCCTCCCTAGACTTGCTCGTGATGCACCTACTAATGCAAGAGAGAGTGCAGTTAGCCTTACTTATTACGTCATCATTTCGGCAACTCATGTTCATTTTTGCGTCGACTATGATTCCAAGGTCCCTTTCCACTGCTGTGCTACTTAAAATGGTACTTCGCAGTCTATAGGTGTATTGATGATTATTTCTCCCCAGGTGCAGCACTTTGCACTTATCTTTGTTGAATTGCATCCTATTCTGTTCCACCCACTTCCTCAGTCTATCCAAATCCTCCTGAATTTGGTCCCTGCCCTCTAGTGTGTTTACTGTACCCCATAGTTTGGTGTCATCTGCGAATTTGGACAGGATGCTTTCTATACCCTCATCCAAATCACTGAAGATATTGAACAGTACCGGTCCAAGGACAGAGCCTTGGGGGACACCACTGCCCACATCTCTGTAGGTAGAAACCGACCCATCCACAACCGCTGTCTGGGTTTGTCCCATAAGCCAGTTTTCCACCCACCTGACTATGAAAAAATCCATGTCACAGCTACTTAGTTTACTTGTAAGAATTGGGTGTGATGCTGTGTCAAAAGCCTTTTTAAAATCCAGTAACATCTACCTCTACTGCTGCATCTAAGAACTTTGTGACCCAGTCATAAAAAGAGACCAGGTTAGTCAGGCAGGATCTGCCTGCTATAAACCCATGCTGATTGCCCCATAACATTGTTTTACCTGCTGGCCCCCCACAAATGTGATCTTTTATTACTTTTCTAAGGTCTTGCCAAGAACAGAGGGGAGGCTAACTGGCCTATAATTGCCCGGTTCCTCCTTCCTCCCCTTCTTGAAAATAGGGACTACATTGGCCCTTTTCCAGTCTTCTGGGACCTGTCCTGAGTGCCACAAGCACTCTAACAGTTGCACCAGTGGTTTTGCTGGGACACCGGCCAATTCCTTAGGTACCCTTGGGTGAAGATCATTGGGGCCTACCGACTTAAATACATCCAACCCCTCCAAGTGCCCCTTCACTAGGTCATTGCTAACCGTTAGTGGATTGGTATATCTCTCATGCCAGACTAAAGTCTCATTGGGAGGTGTGTTTGTATCCATGTCCAGGAACACTGACAAAGAAATCACTTAAAAGCTCAGTTTTGTCCATCCTATCGGTTACAGTCCTGTAGTGGCCCTATGTTACCCTGCATCATCTTCTTGCTCCCTGTGTACTTAAGGGTAACAAAAAAGTCCTTCTTTGTTGCCAGCCTGAGTTCGGTTTATGCCTTGGCCTTTCTCACTGCTTCCCTGCAAGCGTGAGCCAAGCAGGTATACTCCTTCTTGGTGGCTGCCCCCTGCTTCCACAGCCTGTAGGCCTCTCTTTTCCCATGTAGGCTCCTCTGGATTTCCCTGCTTAGTCAAGAGGGTTTCTTGGCTCTTTTGCCTCCCTTTACGTGGATTGGGATGGTACCCCTCTGTGCCTTCAGGATCAGTCCCTTGAGGAACTCCCATCCTTCCTGGACTGGGTAGCAGGGGGGAGGGGAGCAGGGGGAGTTGTAGAGGAGACGGGGAGGGGATCAGAGGCAGTTGTGCCCCTCTGTTGATGCCGGGGGGGCAGAGGGCACCCTGCCTTGGCAACCATGGAAGTATGGCGTTC